CAGGATCCGCCATTCAGTCCGGTGCTGCCCCTCAGGCCGGTGCTGCCCCTTAGTCAGGTACTGTCCCTTAGTCCGGTGCTGCCCCTTAGTCCGGTGCTGCCCCTTAGTCCGGTGCCGCCCCTTAATCCAGTGGGGTTTAGTTGGGGGGTGGTCAGGTGGAGGGGGCTACGGAAGCGGATAGTGACTAAGGTGGGGTGGGGACCACGACCTGGGCCAGAGCCGCCACCATGGACAGACGCCCACCCAGACCCTCCCCTAGACTGTATGCTGGTGCGCCCGGAGTTTGCACCTTTAGGGGGGGGTACTGTGACACTCTGGCTCCAGGGACTCTGATTGTTGAGCCAGGGTTGTTATTTTCATTTAGGGTGTATTTCTATGTTGGATCTAGTTGTTCATTTCTATGTTTGGTTTTGTTGTTGATTAGTCATATGACTCCCAATCGGAGGTAACGAGTGTCAGCTGTCGGCTCGTTATCTCTGATTGGGAGCCATATTTAAACTGTGTGGTTTCACCTGGGTTTTGTGGGTTTTTGTTCCATGTTTCTGTCAGTGTTACAGAGGACTTCACTATCGTCATTTGTTGTTTTTCGTGGTTGCTTTATTAAATAAAAGTCATCATGTTCACTCCACGCGCTGCGTATTGGTCCGCTTCTTCAGACGATCGTGACAGTTTCTCTCTCTCTCTCTGTTTCTCTCTCTCTCTCTCTCTGTTTCTCTCTCTCTCTCTGTTTCTCTCTCTCTCTCTGTTTCTCTCTCTCTGTCTCTCTCTCGATCTCTCTCTGTCTCTCTCAATCTCGCTCTCAATCTCGCTTTCTGTCTCTCTCTCGATCTCTCTCTCTGTCTCGCTCTCTCTCTCTGTCTCTCTCTCTCTCTCTGTCTCTCTCTCTGTCTCTCTCTCGCTGTCTCTCAATGTCTCTCTCGTCTGTCTCTCCATCTCTCTCTCCATCTCTTTCTCTCTATGTTCCTCTCCCTCTTTCTGTCTCGCTCTTTCACTCTCCCTCTTGAGCTTTCACTCTCTGTCTCTGTCGCTCTCTCTCTCTGTCTTTCTTGCAATTCAATTCAAAGGGTTTTATTGTCATGGGAAACACGTTTACATTGCCAAAGCAAATGGAATAGACAATAAACCTTCTCCCTCTCTCCCTTTTGGTTGCTCTTGTTCTCTCTCTATCCCTCCTGCCGGCTAACTGATGCAGCTCGTTATTCGCCTTCTTGGCTATTCATTTATTAACATCATTTCATTGTTCATTACATTAACTAACGGGAGGAGGAGGAGAGCCGGGCACCCTATTCCCACATAGGGCTCTGGTCAAAAGCAGTGCACTATATTGGGAATAGGGTGCCATTTGGAACGTATCCATGGGCCACACCTGGAAACAGCATGGCTTTCACAGGCTGAGAGGGCAAAGCAGAAGTGTGTGTGTGCGTGTGTGTAATGTTTTTGCTAAGTTCAAATATCCATACTAGCATAACACTTACAGTATTTCTCCCCTTTCTGATTTGTGACTCGTTTCAGGAAACTAGGCGTATGTCGTGGGTCAGTACTTCACAGGAGAGCCATTTGAACGTAAACCTTTTTTTTTTAATCTAAATGCGTTTTTTGGCAGAAATGCCTTCAGGAACATGTGTACTTTCATGTGCCTTTATAACAAACTGCCATCTGTAAATACGAATAAAATTGCTAAATTACGAGCCTAGTTGGTTAAGCCACAGAAAAAGACAGCAACCTTCCCACTAGCCATGATTGGCTGAGATAATGAGTTATGCTGGACATGCCGAGAGAGGAGTTTGGATTGGTCTGCCATATAGCACCCTTCTGTCTATTTGAGCTGGTCAGTATGTGTAGGTAATCCTGTCTAAAGCAGCTTTTTTTTTTATGTATAGTGTAGTGGAGCTGCATAAGTGTTGCTTTCCACTTTCTGGAGGATCGAGTTTTGAAATCAGTGGAATTAGAGTATGATAGCTAAAGAGATGGAGCAAACACCTGTCTCCGGATTACATCTTCAAACTAAAGACAACCATGGCATCCGTGACAGGGAGATGCATCCATCCATGATGTATACAGGTAAGATAGTCTAGCTAGCTACATTTTCAGATATTACATATTTTTAATTTTGACAGAAAGTGGTTTCATTTCAAGTTAAAGTGTACTGTTAGCTAGCTAACGTTAGCTGGCTGGCTTGCTAGTTAACGTTACGTCTACTATCTTATTATTTGTATCTCAGAGCCATTTGCTTGCTAACATTGAACCTGGTTGGTTAGGTACCTGCAGATTCATGCAGGGTAGTAAAGTCATGAGTTGGGATTATGGTTCATTGTTTACCTAGCTAGCTAACTCCACTATGCAAGTAACCATTTCGGGTGTGTTCGTAAATTGAGTCTGAGTATGCCAGAGCACAGAATAACTGATGAATTTACGAACGCACAACACCTGTTGAATATGGCCGGTGTCAGTAAACGTCGGCAAAAAAGTGTAATTAAATTGTTGCCAGCAGCACAGTTACAGTCTCCAACGCTCTACATAACATGAAAACAGCCTAACCAGCTCTGCTAGGGCGGGTAAAATGGTCAGTGGAGTGTTCTGTCATTGGTTAGGCTGTTATCATGTTATCCAGAAGTAAACAATGAACCATTATCCCAATTTTGTGTTTGGAAGTAGCTAGCAAGCTAGCCAATGTTAGCCAGTTAGCTTGGGTGGTTGACTGCCGTTGTGAGGTCAGAACGAAAACGAGATGGGTGGGGCTAAATCTTAAGAGGGTGTGAACGATGCTGAATGGGTGTAGACAAAGAAGTGCTCTTCAGT